CACTCCGAAATTGCTATAACTTGTATAGGAATTCAGTAAAGTGTCAGGATATAAAATCAATGCACAGAAATTAGTTGCATTTCTCTACACCAACAACAGGACAGAAGAAAGAGAAATTAAGGAGTCAATCCCATTTACAATTGCACCCAAAACTATAAGATACCTAGGAATAAACCTAACCAAAGAGGCTAAGAATCTATACCCAGAAAACTATAAAGTACTCATGAAAGAAATTGAGGAAGACACAAAGAAATGGAAAAATGTTCCATGCTCCTGGATTGGAAGAATAAATATTGTGAAAATGTCTATGTTATCTAAAGCAGTCTACACATTTAATGCAATTCCTATCAAAGTACCATCCATTTTTTTCAAAGAAATGGAACAAATAATCCTAAAATTTATATGGAACCAGAAAAGACCTCGAATAGCCAAAGGAATATTGAAAAAGAAAGCCAAAGTTGGTGGCATCACAATTCCGGACTTCAAGCTCTATTACAAAGCTGTCATCATCAAGACAGCATGGTACTGACAGCCATTTGTATGTCCTCATTGGAGAAATGTCTGTTCATATCTTCTGCCCATTTTTTGATATGATTATCTGTTTTGTGTGTGTTGAGTTTGAGAAGTTCTTTATAGATCCTGGATAGCAACCTTTTGTCTGTACTGTCATTTGCAAATATCTTCTCCCATTCCATGGGTTGCCTCTTTGTTTTCTTGACCGTTTCCTTTGCTGTGCAGAAGCTTTTGATTTTGATGAAGTCCCAAAAGTTTATTTTGGCTTTTGTTTCCTTTGCCTTTGGAGACATATCTTGAAAGAAGTTGCTGTGGCTGATATCGAAGAGATTACTGCCTATATTGTCCTCTAGGATTCTGATGGATTCCTGTCTCACATTGAGGTCGTTTATCCATTTTGAGTTTATCTTTGTATATGGTGTAAGAGAATGGTTGAGTTTCATTCTTCTACATATAGCTGCCCAGTTTTCCCAGCACCATTTATTGAAGAGACTTTTTTCCACTGTATATTTTTTCCTGTTTTGTTGAAGATTAACTGACCGTAGAGTTGAGGGTCCATATCTGGGCTCTCTACTCTGTTGCACTGGTCTATGTGTCTGTTTTTATGCCAGTACCATGCTGTCTTGGTGATCACAGCTTTGTAGTAAAGCTTGAAATCAGGTAACCTGATGCCCCCAGTTTTATTTTTGTTTTTCAACATTTCCTTAGTGATTCGGGGTCTCTTCTGGTTCCATACACATATTTGGATTTGCTTCAGCTCTTTGAAGAATACCGGTGGAATTTTGATTGGAATGGCATTAAAAGTATAGATTGCAAGGGGAGGTGAACAATGAGAGACTATGGACTCTGAAAAACAATCTGAAGGGTTTGAAGAGGTGGGGTGTGGGAGGTTGGGGGAACCAGGTGGTGGGTATTAGAGAGGGCACGGACTGCATGGAGCACTGGGTGTGTTATAAAAACAATGAATACTGTTATGCTGAAAATAAATTTTAAAAAATGATAAAAAAAAAGAAAAAGAAAAAAAAGTATAGATTGTTCTAGGCAATATAGACATTTTAACAATGTTTATTCTTCCGATCCAAGAGCATGGAATGGTCTTCCATCTTTTTTTGTCTTCTTCAATTTCTTTCATGAGTGTTCTGTAGTTCCTCGAGTACAGATCCTTTTCCTCTTTGGTTAGGTTTATTCCCAGGTATCTTATGGTTCTTGGTGCTATAGTAAATGGAATCGATTCTCTAATTTCCCTTTCTGTATTGTTCATCATCACTAGCCATCAGGGAGATTCAAATTAAAACCACATTGAGATATCACCTTACAAGTGTTAGAATGGCCAAAATTAGCAAGACAGGATACAACATGTGTTGGAGGGGATGTGGAGAAAGGGGAACCCTCTTACACTATTGGTGGGAATGCAAGTTGGTGCAGCCTCTTTGGAGAACAGTGTGGAGATTCCTCAAGAAATTAAAAATAGAACTTCCCTATGACCCTGCAATTGCACTAGTGGGTATTTACCCCAAAGATACAGATGTAGTGAAAAGAAGGGCCATCTGTACCCTAATGTTTATAGCAGCAATGGCCATGGTTGCCAAACTGTGGAAAGAACCAAGATGCCCTTCAACGGACGAATGGATAAGGAAGATGTGGTCCATATACACTATGGAGTATTATGCCTCCATCAGAAAGGATGAATACCCAACTTTTGTAGCAACATGGACAGGACTGGAAGAGATTATGCTGAGTGAAATAAGTCAAGCAGAAAGAGTCAATTATCATATGGTTTCACTTATTTGTGGAGCATAACAAATAGCATGGAGGACATGGGGAGTTAGGAAAAGGGAGTTGAGGGAAATTGGAAGGGGAGGTGAACAATGAGAGACTATGGACTCTGAAAAACAATCTGAAGGGTTTGAAGAGGTGGGGGGGTGGGAGGTTGGGGGAAACAGGTGGTGGTTATTAGAGAGGGCACGGATTGCATGGAGCACTGGGTGTGGTACAAAAACAATGAATACTGTTATGCTGAAAATAAATAAAAAAATGATTAAAAAAATAGTAAAAAAAAATCAGAAAAAAAAATTTCCAAAACCAACTATGTAGGCTTCCATTTTTCAACAATTTATAGGAAATAAATATAATATTATATGTTGGGTGAAATATATTTTCTGTTATGTATTAGATTAAGTAATTATGTTGTATTATCATATATTCATGTGCTCAATTAAATATGTAATATATTAGTATATAAATGAAAAAAAAAAAGACAGCATGGTAGTGGCACAAAAACAGACATATAGATCAATTGAACAGAATAGAGAGCCCAGAAATAGACCCTCAACTCTATAGTCAACTAATCTTCGACAAAGCAGGAAAGAATGTCCAATGGAAAAAAGACAGCCTCTTCAATAAATGGTGTTGGGAAAATTGGACAGCCACATGCAGAAAAATAAAATTGGATCATTTCCTTACACCACACACCATAACTCAAAATGGATGAAGGACCTCAATGTGAGAAAGGAATCCATCAAAATCCTTGAGGAGAACACAGGCAGCAACCTCTTCGACCTCAGCCGCAGCAACATCTTCCTAGGAACATCGCCAAAGGCAAGGGAAGCAAGGGCAAAAATGAACTATTGGGATTTTATCAAGATCAAAAGCTTTTTCACAGCAAAGGAAACAGTTAACAAAACCAAAAAACAACTGACAGCCTGAGAGAAGATATTTACAAACGACATATCAGATAAAGAGCTAGTGTCCAAAATCTATAAAGAACTTAGCAAACTCAACACCCAAAGAACAAATAATCCAATCAAGAAATGGGCAGAAGACATGAACAGACATTTCTGCAAAGAAGACATCCAGATGGCCAACAGACACATGAAACAGTGCTCCATATTACTTGGCATCAGGGAAATACAAATCAAAACCACAATGAGATATCACCTCACACCAGTCAGAATGGCTAAAATTAACAAGTCAGGAAACGGCAGATGCTGGCGAGGATGCGGAGAAAGGGGAACCCTCCTACACTGTTGGTGCGAATGCAAGCTGGTGCAACCACTCTGGAAAACAGCATGGAGGTTCCTCAAAATGTTGAAAATAGAACTACCCTATGACCCAGCAATTGCACTGCTGGGTATTTACCCTAAAGATACAAACGTAGTGATCCGAAGGGGCACGTGCACCCGAATGTTTATAGCAGAAACGTCTACAATAGCCAAACACTGGAAAGAACCTAGATGTCCATCAACAGATGAATGGATAAAGAAGATGTGGTATATATACACAATGGAATACTATGCAGCCATCAAAAGAAATGAAATCTTGCCATTTGCAACGACGTAGATGGAACTAGAGGGTATCATGCTTAGCGAAATAAGTCAATCGGAGAAAGACAACTGTCATATGATCTCCCTGATATGAGGGAGTGGAGATGCCACATGGGGAGTTAAGGCGGTAGGAGAAGAATAAATGAAACAAGATGGGATTGGGAGGGAGACAAACCATAAGTGACTCTTAATCTCACAAAAGAAACTGAGGGTTGCTGGGGGTAGGGGGGTTGGGAGAGGAAGGGTGGGGTTATGGACTTTGGGGAGGGTATGTGCTATGGTGACTGCTGTGAAATGTGTAAACCTGGCGATTCACAGACCTGTAACCCTGGGGATAAAAATATATTATATGTTTATAAAAAATAAAATAAAAAAAAGAATTAATTGTAGACTTTTCAGGAGTATCAATCACCTCTTACCCCTCTCTTTCCCCCATGGACTCTGAATCAATTTACCCATGGATTCAGAAACAAGGCAGAAACCATTATTAGTGTTAGTATTGATAAAGTTGTGTTGAACTTTCAACCATGTAATACAGGACTGTTTACAAATTTAATTCACTCTTTCCATCCAAGGACTGTAAGCTTTCTGAAACCCTGGATGTACCTCCTGGCACACTGTGGGCTCACAAAATATGTGAAGCAAAGTTGGAAGCACTGTATCTGGGGCAAAAGAGTAACTAAAAGTTAATACACATTGACTAGGGATTATCTACAAAATGTACTTTTTTAACACCAAATAGTAATTAACCAGGCACTCAGCTAAATGGCTATGTGAGGCATCATCTGTATGCATTTTCTACATATAGATTCCCAGTAATAGCTACAACTATAATAGCAGGAGTAATAACTACAAGCATTCTAGTAGTAGTAATAATGATTATAAAGATTAAAAACATGCCAAAATAATAAAAGAAACATATAAAGTTTTGTAGATTAAGTAGAGTTTATTAATTTTTTTCAAATTTGCATGAGAAGAAGCAGTGACGAGAGGATTTAAATGCATGTCTTCCAGACTCTACATGTCATGTGTTTAATTACTGACAAGAAAAGGGGTTTGCTCTTTAGCAGTTACACCTACTGGTTCCTTTTACAGAACATGAAATAGCTTCAAAATTCATTCCTTAAAATGTCCACACAGAAATTATTTCTTCAGAAACATCATCTACAAAGTGTGTTTTGAATTTGTATGTCGAGTCCTTATCTTCTTCATGGCTGATTTTACTTCTTGATTCCTTAATGTATAAATAATATGATTTAAGAGAGGTGTGAAAATTGTATAAAACACACAGAGAAAGGGCCATACATACATAAAGACACAGGGGGCAAAGAAGAGAGTCACAACCATGATGTGTGCTGACAGAGTGGAGAAGGCCTTGGCCAAACCACCAGCAGCACGGTGCCTGACTGAGTACATGATGATCCCATAGGAGACAAGCAAGAGGAGAAAGCAGACCAGGGGCAGGAGGCCACAGTCAGCAACAACCAGCAGTTGTAGCAGGTAGGTTTCTTCGCAGGCAAGTTTGATCACAAGGGGGAGGTCACAGAAAAAGCTGTCCACCACATTGGGACTACAGAAGGGCAAATTCAACATGAAAGCCATCTGACTAGATGAATGCACAAATCTAACTGTATAGGAGGATAACAGCAGCTGAACGAGCATTCATGGGCTCATGATGGTCAGGTAATGGAAGGGTTTGCATATGGCAACGTACCTGTCTATTGCCATGGCTACAAGCAACATCATCTCACCGCCCCCCCCCCCAAGGAGGTACATGAAGAACATCTGAGAGTAACATCCCCACCAAGAGATGGTCTTTCGGTTAGGGGGTGATTTTTTTAATGATTTCTGAAATGGCCAAGAGAGTGTACCAAAAAGCAAGGGGAATTCAAAATATACATTTCTGAAAGACAAAAATAAAAACAGCACATGAAATCATCATCGTGTTGTGAACCTGGAATCCAAAGACCTCAATACAACACCTAGCTGAGCTACTCATTGAGGGCAACACAGGATAAGTATCTCCTTTCCAGGGTTAAGTTTCCCCTTCAGTAAAATAAAAACAATCAGACTGCATGATATTGAATGCATCTTTGTACTTTAAAGATGTTCATAAATGTGATTATGATGGTGGTGGGTTCTACATTCATAGAATAATATTGATTTTTTTTTTGTCCTGGAAATGATAAATGCAGAAAATACAGCAAGGTTTCTAAAGACCCATATTTTGAAAGAGATTCTGGTAAGGAACTATTAATTAAACCTTAAATTATGTCTTACTTGTAAGTTTTTGTGTCCTGAGAAATGTATCTCCTCTTTCCTTCTCCGTTCTTGCATGAAACCCTCAGAGCTCATGCTAGTAACAATGATGGTTATTGCCCACTTTGTAAGAATGTAACCGTGTAATTATATATATGACATATATTATTATATATATTAACCAGTAACCATAACAACCATATATAATAACCATTATATATATAACCATATATATATAACCATATATATATATAAACCACTAACCATATATTAACCATATTATATATTAACCATAGTTTATATATATATATATAAACCAATATTATATATATATTAACCACATATATTAACCATATATATAACCATTAACTACTTCTCTCTACTTCTATCATTTCTACTTCTATATATTAACCATATATATATATATATATATATATATATATATATATATATATATACCAAGTATATATGGTATATATATACCAAGGATGCCCAGGTCCACAGAGAAATGGAACTGAACTTACTTCATTTTCAATTTGTATTCACTCATTCACTTGTTGATGGTTATATAAAGGATTGCTGTTTGGACTGTGCATTTTATTCCTCACAAGCTTCAAAATGACAAAATGGGGTGGCTTGAGGTAACTGCTTCATGTGGATAAGAGAAATACAGTTCTTTCACTACAGTCATCTAAATTTATGCCATAACTTTCCCATCAGCCCATGCTTATAACACCACTGGTTTTACTGGTTTGTTCAAAAAGATTATTTTCATCATTAATGGTTTTTTGGTTATCTAGATTCTTATAAATCTTTTTCAGCAAACAAAATATAGTCTTCCTTTTGTGTCATTATTGCTTACCAGAGTGGAGAAAATACTTTTAGGGGAATGTGCCTCATGTGAATCTGGGGAATAGCCTTGCATCTCCTTATCCTGTACTCCCACCAATTCCCTGCAATTTATGTTCCCAATCATCAGAAATAGAAGGAAGAAGCATCATGATGCTCTGCACTCTGTTTCTCTGAGACACCCCATGGGTACATTCATCCAACAGAGGATGTATTTTTTTCCCCGTATACACATGTCCTCTAGCCAACTTCCTACTCTGAGAACCTTGGATTGATGCAAAGTGCTAAGTCTTATTTAATATACAAAGTTATTTCTTTCTGTGTCTAGGACAGTTATATCTCCTTTCAGTTTTATGCCTAACCCTTTAAGGATTCATACTAATGCTTTTGGAATTCTCATTTTCGAAACTGCATTCCAAGAGAAAAGGACAGACTTCAAATATACATGCAGTAGTTTATACACATTCTAGCATCTGGAATACTGCACAACTACTCAAACATCTATTGAAGGAGTGAATGAATGAATGAAATATATAATGAATATTCAGGATCTAGATTAAAAACAGTGTTAATGCAAAATCCATGTAAATTACGAATTTTAAGCCTATTTTTAATTATCAAATTGAATGTAAGCAATTTTAAATAGAAACAGAATAACTGTTCAAAAAAAATTGTTAGAAGAATTTTCCCTAATTTACTTTAGAAAAATATCAAAGTAGCTTATACTAATGGAAGAGAAAACATGCCACACATAGCAGAAGGATAACTCTTAGCATTTTATTTCCTGGATAGCCTTTGAGAAAAGTAATATACACATTAGCACAGTGTGTGTGTTCTGAGTGTGTGTGTGGGGGGGTATTAGTATATATTTACATTTATATGTTTTTTATTAAGACAATAGTGTTCGATAGAATTTATTGAGAGAATAGTATTCACATGCATAGTTATTTTCCTTGGGTTTGTCAATATGTTAAAATTCTATTCCTATGAGTAGATGAAAATCTACAGCATTTTACAACTATATAGAATTCAATTTTGTTGATGATGCACAATGTAAATGCCCATGAGTACAGTTTCCTTTAAGGAATTGAATATTACTCATAAAACTTTGTTTTCATCCTATTTCTGTCTTCTTTAAAAACCTGCAATTACATAACTCTATTATCAATCCCCAGTTCACCAAGGCCTTCAAAATCAGCCTCTCACCACTCTAGATATCCAGTACTGTTTTCTAATAGTGCAAAAGCACAATATCTGTTTTAGTAGAAACAAATTCATGGCTTTCTGCATTCCCCTTCCATTTTTTCCTATCTCTACATGTTTTCTTCTTTTTAGGTAGATGAACTTCTCCATCCATAAAACCATATTCTTAGGGACACCTTGAGACTTCTTTCCTATATAATAGAACTTTCCCTAGTACAAAACCCATAACAATTTCCACTGTACTTATGGTCCGTCTCATGTGCTCTACCATTTATGTATTCTCCAGGTATACCGTGTGCATTAGGTATTAATATTCTGAAATTGAAGTAACACTAGAACAAGAGCTAGGAAAATCTGTTCTTATGTGAGTTCATCATTTCTGCTTTTGTGATTTTTCTTTCCCCAGATCATTTTTAAGCTCCTTGAAAATAGACAAATTACTCATATTCTCCACAATACATGTTATAAAGGCCATCAATAGAAATGTTGAAGTGAGTAAAAACAGACAGATATTTAACAAGAAAAACTTAAAACTTATGTCTCATTAATCAGCCCATTTTGTTGAGATTCTCAACGAGTGACCCTTTGCTTATTTGGGTAGTCTGGACAATATTTTTCCCTTTCTTTCAATGCGTTAGCCTCACACAATTTGTCCAATTTCATATGATCTAATCATGAACTAAGAGCTTCAAAAATGTTGTTGCTATTATTGGATTCTGCTCAACTTCTAGAAATCTTAAATATCTAAAAGTACTTAACTTGTAGGCTCACACGCACTCTCCTTTCATCACTATTTATAATTTAAAAATACTGAAACTCTCTAAATAGCTAATTTATTCAGTCCCTATGTTAAAGACCTGCTATGCATCATTATGCAATACACTGAGGATATTTATGTGCTAATTTTAATTAATTAAAAGGAAAGGTTAACTGATCTATTTAGAACGTTTTAAGTGATATATACTAATGAGGCTGGAAAATGCTCAGAAGTATTATTAAATGGAAATAACCCAATTTTGAGATTATTTACAAAGACTGATTAGACCTTTAAAAAAAAAAGAAATGATGAAAGTATGCAAAGTAAGAAAAAAGAAAAAAGAAGGAACTTTGAAGAGGTGGGGGGGGTGGGAGATGGGGGAACCAGGTGGTGGGTATTAGAGAGGGCACGGATTGCATGGAGCACTGGGTGTGGTACAAAAACAATGAATACTGTTATGTTGAAAATAAATTAAAAAAATGATTTAAAAAATTTAAAAAAAAAGGAACTTTCAAGAGAACACACTGAAGTAATAAAGATTGAATTGCACTTTTTTTCTACTTCTATCATTCAATTTTAATTATTGTCTATTACTTTAATAATGAAAAGAGAAATGTTCACAGAATAATGGAGCTAAATACTAGTAGACCTAGTACAAGACTGAACAAAATTTATTAAAAAGCAAACAGGTTGCTTTAAAAAAAAACTGACAGTGATGGGAACATGTCAAAGGAGCCAACTGAAAGAGCTCCCAAGGACCAAAGCCGGAACAATTTGAGTGACCAAATTAATAAAGTATATTGGATTATAACTCAGAGTGTAAAATAAAAGTTCATGAATCTACACTGGTACAAATAAATAATTCAACAAATAAGTAAAGAAGATAAAATTTTCCCATGCATTAAAATTCCAAATAATTTATGTAAATATTTCATGTTCAAAGAGGTAAAGCATAGCACCCCACTCCTTAAGTGGTCAGTGTGCATAACAACTTCCTTCCAGGGAGGACAGGGTGAGAAGCAAGGGAAAAGGTAATTTGAGAGTAAAGAAACCTGACAAAGACCGCCTCACCCAGATAATAAAAGTCAACATAAGCAACAGTGATTAGTCTCACTGACATTATGTATCCATGATAGGATAAAATGGCACTTACCTCTGTGGACTTCCTCCCCCAAATCTATCACCCCAGTATAATCATTAGGAAACATAAGACACATTCCAATGCAGGAGCATCTTGTAAGATACCCAGCCAATAACAGTCAAAACCTTCATGGTCATCAAAAATAAAGACAGTCTGAGAAATTGTCACAGCCAAGAGGTGCCTAAGGAGACATGAAGACTAAATCCAATGTAGTATCCTGGATAGGATTCTGGAAGAGAAAATGGACATCAGGTAAAAACTAAGGAAATCTGAATAAAGTGTGGACTTTAGTTAATAATAATGTATAAATATCAATTCATTAGTTCTGACAAATATACTATAATAGAGGAAACTGGATGCAAGGTATATGGGAACTCAATGTAACTATCTATGAAATTTTCCTGTAAATCTAAAAATAAAGTTTGCTAACAACAACAGAAAAGTAAAAAAAAAAAAATCAAAACAAAAAAAAAACCACAAAAAAACCCCCACAACTTTTTGGAATAATGCATTAGTGATATTTAACTGTGGAATAGATAGTTTTATTGAAAGTCAAAGAATTTTTCTACTTTTTTGTTTTGTTTCTCTTTTGAGATTTTAACTTTCACTAATCTATAATTTTCTTTAAAACACTTTTTCTTTCTTTAAAAGATTTTATTTCTTTATTTGAGAGAGAGCGGAAGAGAGAGAGCATGAATGGGGGGAGGGCAAAGGGAGGGGAAGAATTAGTCTCCCTGATGAACAAGGAGCAAGAAAGAAAAGAGAAAAGAGAAAAAGTTTATGTTTTCAAAGCAAATATTTGGATTATCTGACCAGCATCATCTTTTCCCACAGAAACAAAGTTCCTTAGCTTTCTCCTTACTGTAAACAATTTTCTGGCTATTGTAAAATGGCTGAGGAGAAAGATATATAAACTTTGACATCAGCATTTTAATTCTAATGCATAGACTCACATGCAGTTAAACTGAGCATTAGAAGTAGAAATTTATTCATAGGTGACCATATGCAACAAATTATGAAGAGAAAAGACATACTGTGATTGATCTACTAGTTGCCTAACCTACAGAGAGCAGTCATCCAACTACTTGAGAATATAGGAGTGATTTATTCTATTAAAATGTACTTTTTAAAAAAAAGTACTTGTAACCTTAAAACAGAAGAACCTGAAATAAGAGCAATTATTTCTTAAGTCAGATTTGCCAAAAATAATGTTCTTGTCCACATGATACTAGTCAACTTAGCTGACTTTTATTTGTCTGCTTGTTGACCACAATGGGATAAACTGAAGTATTAGTCTGATAGGTTTATAAGCACAACACATTATAAGGAACAACACATTTCTTTGAAAACAAATGCAAAATTTCATTCAGCAACTTACTACCTGAGGAGGCACTGTTTGCCATGAATTGCAAATGCTCTTAAATGTTTATTGGTAATGATATTGACATCATGAAATGTGACATGGAAACTCTTTAGCAGATGGAAAATAAAATCACTTGAAGTATATCAAAGTATACTCAATTATTTAATTTGCCCTGCATTGTCACACTTACAATGAGAATTCTCTGTGTCTGTAGGATAACTAGAATGATAATGCCTTCTAGCACTCTCCAATGTCATCATAGTGTTCAGTTCCTAAAGGACTTTCAACATTTGATTCTACCTATGAACAAAGAAATTAAAAGCCTGTATCTAGATATGGCTCTATATTGTTTTGATGTATGTTAAATCTTCCCCTATGACTTACCGGTGTTACAGTGCTTCAGAACATTACTTGAGTCAGACACATTGAAACCTGGAGAGCAGCTCTTTCCAAAAATAATGGTATTTCCTTAAAATAATGACAGATATGAATATTTTACTTAAAAAAGAGTCATATAGGGTGCCTGGGTGGCTAAGTGGGTTAAGCCTCTGCCTTTGGCTCACGGTCCTGGGATCAAGCCCCACATCGGGCTCTCTGCTCAGCGGGGAGACTGCTTCCCCCTCTCTCTCTGCCTTCCTCTCTGCCTACTTGTGATCTGTCTGTCAAATAAATAAATAAAACTTTTAAAAAAGAGTCATATGTATTGAGAGAGTGGTGATAAAGAAATGTATTTTGAGACCTAACAAAACCCAAGTGATGATTAAATACCAATGGGAATTATTAAAGATGTCATATTGTTTTCTATGAGTTACAAGAGAGAAAACTTTTTCTGGCATTGTATATTTACCAAAATTTTTATGTTTTATTGAGGAAATATATCAGGAAATATATCAAGGAAATATATCCCGACTATCAGGTCGGGATATGAAAACTTACTTGAAGAATATTAAAAAGGATCAATCATAAACATATACCTACCATTTACTGTATACTAACTTTAGGCCTGGCACTATTGTAAACATAACTGGAGCTATCAAAATAGAAGACATAAAGATAGAAAGCTGGGGAATTGTAGTCCCACCATTTCCTTATTCCCATGTCCAGTTCCAGAAAATGTTTCCTGTAGAGTATCCCCTTTTCTCTCTTCCATATCCAATTAAAAAATACATTTACCCAATACAACCAGCTAGATCTTCATGCCTCTCCACTCCAGTTTGAAGTAACTTTGAACTGCCTGTTTCCATTTTCAGTGAAACCACTGCTCCAAGAGTGATAGGACAAGCGATATGGGGTGCCTGGGTGGCTCAGTCAGTTGAGGGCTGACTCTTGATTTTGCCGCTTGATTCTGGCTCTGGTCATGGTCTCAGGTAGTGGGATTGAGCTCTGCTGACCGGCTCCACACTCAGAGCAGATGTCGGCTTGAGATTCTCTCTCTCACTCTACCCCTCCCCTGACTTATCTCTCTCTCTCTCTCTCTAAATAGATAAATAAATCTTAAAAAATAAAAAATAAATGTGATACAGCCTTGTAATCCAATGTTTCTTCAATTCTTTTTGTAGATTAGTAATAGTCAAGTGCCTTTTTTTTTTTTTTTTAAGATTCTGTTCATTTATTTGACACAGAAAGAGATCACAAGTAGGCAGAGAGGCAGGCAGAGAGATAGGGGGAAGCAGGCTCCCTGCTGAGCAGAGAGCCTGATGCGGGGTCCCAGGGTCCTGGGATCATGACCAGATCCGAAGGCAGAGGCTTAACCCACTGAGCCACCCATGTGCCCCCAGTCAAGTGCCTTTCTTGATCAGAGGAATTTCTCCCCACGAAACACACTGATAGACTCTCCAATATTATAAAACTTTCATTGTGTTCTTGGTGGCTGCTTCTGTAAGGCTATTATGGAACCATGTATCACAGTCCTTAACTCAGGGAATGAGTGGGTGAGCACTGGCATGCTCTGCCCCAGGGAACCCCGAGGGAGCATCACAAATTGAGAGCATAGCTCCTGGCTGGGTTTGCCAAAACTTGCCAAAAAATCCAGATAAATTCATGGCAAAAGAAGCCAGTAACTGGAGACAAGGATTTGGAAAAGAGGGAAAAATTTAGTTCTGGTGCATGTAGCTGGCTGAGGTGGCTCAAGCCTTACAACAGACCTCTCTGCTGGCAAGATGGACACCTAGAGTTTTCTAGTAGAGGTTTAGGAAAGTACCTGCAAGACAGCAGGCAAGGAGTACGTGATCACAGGTGCGGGTTGGTATGTGTTTTTAGTCCCTGATCATGTCCAGGGAAGAGGACCTGTGGGTGGTGGTCTTCTAGGCATTCCATTGCTATGAGATAGGGCTTTTTTGATCTAGAGGTTGGGGTGTTTCAGTAATAAGAGGTAACTGCTGGGGTCTAGATTTGAGCAAGTAGGCTTGCTAACAAGAGGATTAGCAAATCCTAGAGCTGAATAGGTGTCAGTTCCATTGAATTCCCATTTTTAGACCACTGGGACTTCTGGAAGGAGTCCAGTATGATCCATTTGTTGTTTCTGTGCAGAGAAATCTGCCTTCAGATTTCCAGAGAAATCTTGTCTTCAGAGAAATCTGCCTAAAATTGTCAGATGACAGCCTTCCTATGAACACTGAGTTAAGTCCACAGTGTTCAGACTGATGGCTTTGGTGGGTAAGAGAGAAGTATGTCCACTTTTTCTCTGCTTGGATGTTTCCATATCATTTTATTTCATTATCTCCAATAGTTGGCTCAGGAATCCCTAAAGCATCTGACAAAAATCTTAACATTCCAATCTCTTGCCTCAGTACCATGTCTTTCTTGGGTGGTTTCTACATGACTTGTTTTAATCTTCCTCTAAGTTCCCATAAATGTGCTCATGACTGAATGCTTGAAATGAGAGTGGTTTTAGTTTCCAATTACCTATGGCCAATTTACTTACCCGTACAGCAAGATTCCCTGGCTTAAGTGACTATCAACAACTAAAGGTATCATTGAGCCATGAGCCTAATTACTTCTGCAATATGAAGTAAGGGGCACTTGACAGCATCCATCACGCAGATCTCCCCTTACCTTCTTCATCAGAGTTTGACTGTCTTCAGGATTTACTGTGGCTGATTTATGAAGAACAGCAGACTTCATTATGGAAACTACGTCGATAACCAAAGAGCATGTTTTGATTTGATCAGGAAAGGGCCAAATAGTTTAAACCTGAGATATGTCCAGATTAGTAGCCATTAGACATATATGGTTATTTTAGCAAACTACTTTTCCTTTCTTTTTTTCTCTTCTTTTGTTCTTTCCCTCCTCCTCTCCTCCCTTTCTTCCTTCTTCTCTTCCTTCCTTTCTCCTTTCATTCTGTTATTCTGTCATTCCAGTCCCACTTCTTTTTCTTGGTTCTTCTAGAATTTATATTATGCAATTTTAAATTCACATTCTAGTACCTTTAAATAATATTATACCATTTCACCTATACTGAACTTCTCTACCGTCTAACGTCCTTTGTACTATATTGCCATGTCATACTTCTATTTGCACATATTATAATTGTAGTAGTCATTAAGCTTCATTTAACATTTCTGATGGCCATGAAATATTTAATCTGTTATTTGCTCAAAAATGTCTTTTTTTTCACCTTTAAGTTTGAGAAGATAGTTTTGGTATAGAATTCTACTTTGAGGTTTTTTTTGTCTTTTCATATTTTAAAAATAGTGGGCATAGTTTCTGAAACTAGTCTAGAGTTGTCAATATCTTATTCTTCTCTATATATCTTTATCTCCTCTGACAGATATTAAGACTTTATAAATTGCTCAATTTATTGTACGTCTTAAAGTGATTATTTTGTATTTTATGTATGTATGTATGTATTTTATTTATGTCTCCTCTGACAGATATTAAGACTTTATAAATTGCTCAGCATTTATTGTATGTCTTAAAGTGATTTTTTTCATGAAGCATTCAAACCTAATTTCGTTCTGTGATTTTAAAACATTTTTCTTTTAAAACATTAAAAAACAAGTATATAATCTTGAACAGATAAATGGATACTCTGATGGTAATTACTATCACAAATTTGCACAAGCTCAAATGAGTTTTTATCTGAAGGCCTTGATATATCATTTATGATAAAAGTTTTATGGGGTTTATGACAAATATTTCCATTTGCACATTGTAATGAAGAAAGTGAAGCATAGAAAAGACTTAAAATTGCTAGCATGTCCTTTACCATGTCCTACAAACACATGGATTTATCAGTCTCTTGCTGGTAGAATTACAGTTAAATAAAAAGAAGAAAAAGATGTAGCACTTTCCTACTATTCTTTCTTGTAATTATTTTCTAACTTGTAAGGAGAAAAATAAAAATTTGATGAAATTATGAAAATAATAAAAAAAATAAAACATTGGAATGTTTCAGTCATTGTCAATGCCTCAATGTAGTGCAATGTGAGCAAGAAGGCTTGCTAATGAGAATTAGCAAATCCTAGTGCTGAATCGGTGTCAGTTCCATTGAATTCCCATTTTTAGACCAATGGGGCTTCTGGAAGGAGTCCAGTATAATCCATTTGCTGCTTCTGTGCAGGACCTTGTCTTCAGAGAAATCCACTTTATGTTATCGTCAGATGATTTCTCCTTGTGGACACTGAGTTAAGAACTCAGTGTTCAGACTAATGGCTTTGGAGGGTAAGAGAGAAGTATGTCCACTTTTTCTCTGCTTGGATGTTTCCATGTCATTTTATTTCATTACCCCCAATAGCTAGCTCAGGAATCCCTAAAGCATCTAACAAAAATCTTAGCATTCCAATCCCTTGCCTTAGTACCACATCTGTTTTGTGTGGTTTCTATATGATTTGTCTTAATCTTTCTCTAATTCCCATAAATGTGTACATGACTGAATGCTTGAAATGAGAGTGGTTTTAGTTTCCAATTACCTACACCCAATTTACTTGCCTGAAATTTACTCTATTTAAATTTACTTTACTTAAATGATCACATTCTAGTACCTTTAAATAATATTATACCATTTCACATATAACATACTGAACTTCTCTACCCTCTTATCTCTGTACTATATTGTCATGTCATACTTTTATTTGTACATAAAATAAATGTAGTAAATTGTCATTATAGCTTCATTGAACATTTCTGATGGCCATGAAATAATCTTTTATTTGTGCAAAATGTTTTTCTTTCACCTTTAAGTTCATGAAGATTATTTTGGTATAGATTTCTACTTTGAGAGGGTTTTTTCTTTTCATATTGTAAAGAGATTGTGCATAGTTTCTGGGAAAAAAGTCTAGAATTGTTAATTTCTTGTTCTTCTGTATATAATATATCTTTTTTCCTTTAACAAATTTTAAGATCTTATAAATTGCTCATTTTCAGCATTTATTGTGTGTCTTGATTTTCTTTCTTTTTTCCTGACACATCCAAACCTAATTTTGTTCTGTGAATTTGCACTTTCCATCAGAATTATTTTTAAACATTATTTTTCAAATTTTTTTTTCTGTCATCTTTGAATCTAGTACCACATGCATTGGATCATTTGATTCTTTTTTTAGATCATTTGATTTTTTTAAATTTATTAATTTTTTTTATTTTTTTATAAACATATAATGTATTTTTATCCCCAGGGGTACAAGTCTGTGAATCACCAGGTTTACATACTTCACAGCACTCACCATAGATCATTTGATATTTTTTATAGGTCACTGAAATTCTGTTCATTTTTTCCACAATTTTTTTGGCTTTTGCTTTAGCTTTAGCTTAAATGGTTTCTATTTTCTATCTAGGGATTTTTGTTGTTGATATTCTTTTGTCTTTGCAATGGAATTTCTCAATTTCTATATTTTAAAATTCCATTTGACTTTTTTTATGTCTTTTGTTTTTTCTGTCATGTTTATGTTTTCCTATAATTTCCTGATTATTTAATAGAACCTGTTTTTAGAATCTTTAAAATTCCATCATCTAAGTATTTTTGAATATGGTTTTCTTGGTTGTTTTTTTCTCTTGGTTATCTTAACTTTTCTTGCAATTTTTATTAAGTATTTTATATTTAAAATTTTATATTTAAATTTTATATTTAATATTTATATATTTATGTTTGTACTTATTATTACTCAATGGAATATATCAGTCAGTGCTTCTCAACTGAGGGGGATTTGGTAATATCTGGGGATATTTTGGGGTGTTCCATGTGGGGACAACTATTGGCATGTAATGGATAGAGGCCAGGAATGCACCTAAATATCATAGAGTGCTCAAGGCAGTCTCCCACAAAAGAGAATCACTGAGCCTAAAATGTCAATAATGACAAGACTGAGAAACCCTACCATACATTATGAATATTACATTATTGAATTTTTTGGTATATTTTCAAAATAAGAACATTGTTGGCAATACGTATTTGAAATGTCTTTTCTGGTATGTCAACTTTTCTTTTTTTAAAGTTTTTATTTAAATTCCAGTTAGTTGATATACAGTGTAATATTAGTTTCAGGCATACAATGTAGTGACTCAACACTTCCATACAGCACCTATTGCTCCTCACAGCAAGTGCACTCCTTCATCCCCACCATCTATTTCACCCATGCCCCCACGCACCTCTCCTCTGGTGACTATCAATTTGTTCTCTAGGGTTAAGAGTATTTCTCGGTTTGCCCCTCTCTCTTGGCAAGTACTCATATGCTTTGGACACAAAGAGGTAAGTAGATACTTCACAACTGGAAATATTCAAAAAGTAAATAACCATATGAAAAGCTATCTTACATCATGAAATATCAGGGAAATAATAATTAAACCACAATCAAGATTCCAATATATCTAAAAAAATTGCTAGGGGCACCTGGGTGGCTCAGTGGGTTAAGGCCTCTGCCTTCGGCTCCGGTCATGATCCCAGGGTCCTGGGATCGAGCCCCGCATCGAGCTCTCTGCTCGGCAGGGAGCCTGCTTCCTCCTCTCTCTCTGCCTGCCTCTCTGCCTACTTGTGATCTCTGTCTGTCAAGTGGATGAATAAGATCTTTAAAAAAAAATTGGTAAAATTAAAAAGGCTTCATAATACCAAAATCTTGTAAGACTATAGAACAACCTGAACTCTACACTGCAAGAGGGAGTGTAAAGAAGTACAACTACATTGCAACTCTCTGGCACTTTTTAAAAGACATGCCTACCCCCATGATCTAGTAATTCTACTCCACAGTATATCTAAGACAAATGTGTGATTATGCCCAGTTCTGGAAATAATACATAAACCCCATTAATAAATATGTTATTTTCTTTAGTGTCTGAGCTACAAATGTATGAAGTAATCAATGGTTGAATTAATCAATTCAGAGATGACAAAAAAAAAGTAGTTTTAGATATTGCTGACCAAGCTGTTCACTAAAATAATAGCATAATTAGATAAAGTAGTGGTTGTATAGGCCATAGTCCATTTGTTGACATCATAACCATAGGCAGTCCAATGTGAGAAAGAAGAAACTATTCAGCTATTGCTTAACAAGAAAGAGATCAAATAAAGAATGGCAAATTGCTTTCATTTTAACCATGAAGTGTTCTGGCACAATGCAGTATCAACAAAGCTTACAAACCCAAAAGGAATTAATTATAGAAGAAAATTAGAAAGGTATTAGAGAGATGTGACCCTTAGGAACCAGTTATTTCCATTAAATGGTACTCTTCTCTTCACCTTTATTCAGATAAGATTAATGAAAGAGATTTTTGTGACCATCAAAGTTTTATAAGAAGTTTTCTATTTATCTCATGTTTCTAAATTCTTCTTACTCTGGACTTCGGAAAATTCAAAGTTATCCACATTTTAAAGAGACAGTTTATATGTCTGCGTCTGCTCACAGAAACACAATTACATTGTTTGGTTGATAATGCATTCTTTCTGTCTCTCTCTCTCTTTTTTATTGTTCAATTAGCCAATGTGTAGTACAGCATTAGTTTTTAATGTAGTGTTCAACAATTCATTAGTTGCACATAACACCCAGGACTTATCACCGCATGTGCCCTCCTTGGTACCCATCACCCAGTTACCCCATCCTTCCTACCCCCCTTCCTTCTGTAATCCTCAGTTTGTTTCCAGGAATCCAGAGTCTCTCACGGTTTATCTCCCTCTCTGATTTCTTCCCATTCAGTTTTCTGTCCCTTCTTTATGGGGAAAATCTACACACTAATGAGAGATTCTGAATAATCTAGCTTGTCAAATGTATGGCTTTTAATTGCTGAGGGAATTCATTTATAAGATGCAAGGTTTTCCCAGGGTCATTAATTGACAAATTCCTCATGTTGTTGCTGTGGTTTCAAAATAAAAGGGAGTTCTCCTTCATTAGAATGGGGACACACAAAAGGAACATGGAAGAAGTGGGGACATGTGAAAAACTCCTGAGTCTCAATGACTTTCAGTTACAACTCCTAAAGCAAGAATAAGGTATGGAGAAGAAAAGTTAAAGATTTTTCTATGTTTCCATTTCATTAAATAAATTATTTACTTTAAAAATTTCCAATTTCAAATGTAGAACATGTTTAATACATAGTATTTGTGATAAATCAAGAAATATAGAAAAATACATACCAGATATATAATTATACATCCAAAATAAAACACTAAAACACTTTGATGTATGTGACCTCAACGTATATTTTACTGAAATTAAACTCTCTTTTTCATATATTCAACCATTGTTTATATATTTTCTTAAACATTTTTATTTTAGCTTGGCTTTTTATATAGGTCTCTTGAAATTTTCTGTATCAATGTATAAGACTTTGATATTAAGGACATATATATTTGGCTACTTTTCTCCAGTTCAGCTTTTGCCTCTTAGAATTTTGGGTATGTTTTTGAGATAATAGAGAGCTTGCTCATCTTCACTGAATAAATCTATTAAAACCTTAACTTCTGTGGTTTCTGCCTTTGTCATGATCCTAAGCCAATATTATAAAATATAACAAAGCATGATATTCACTTATTTATTTCTATTATTTATTATTTGAACTATTATTTATATACTTAAGTATTTAAATTCATTTTTATTAACGACTGTGTAGCTCACCAGCTTATTTATTCTCAAGTAACTGCAACTTTATCCTAAACAGTATTTTTAATATAGGACTCTTTTACTAAAAAGTCTCGGGTGTTTTACATCTGTTTATTATTCTATCTATTCTTAGTAAGGTAAAGTATCATTTCATTACTCTAGCTTTGTAACACATTTTAAAATCAGATTTGTCTCTCTCGTTGTTTTCAAGAATTGTCCTGGAATTCTCAGAGGACACTTTTGGAAGGGCTGGTGGGAAAAGGGGACAGAAGACATCTTGCCTTTTTTGGTGAGTTGCTTTGTCACAAGTGGATATATGACACAGAATGTATTTCCAACCCTGGCTGTCTGTAATAGATTGCCAAATCCATACTATCATCTTTAGTGCTGCTGCAACTCTAAATGTTTTAGGGAATAGATGATAAACCAGCATAGCCTGTTACTATCCCAAGCTGCAAGTTATTTACAGATTATTTTGCAAGTTCTTTACAGCTATATGTAACATAAATGACTTTCTGATTTGAAGTCCCTAGCTAAATATCAACTACATTTTGGGGAGCATTGATTATTTATCTAAGATCTAATTCAACTTCATTAAATTTTACAGAACCTGACTAATAAAAATTAGAATCTGCACTAACTCTAGAAGCTAAATAGACCAGAGTTAAGCACTCTTGATACTTCAATAAATCTATGTTTCTCTGAGATTTCTCTGGAATTTGTACATGGGTGCATAATTTTTCATAAAATGTGATAATAATCTATTTAAAATATTTAATATAATGACATTTTAAAATTTAATAACATATCTTACACATTTTCCATATAAGCACATATAGATCTCCATTTTAAATCATTCTATTAATGACAGGATTTGGAGGAGATTTCCAAATATTACTTATTAAAGCTAATAGTACAATAAGTATTTGACCATTTCCCTGTGAAAACTTATACTATAAATCACAGAATTGAGGGTTCTTTTTAAAAATGTTGCAAAGTGAAATCAAAATATAATGCCATGCCACAATTTTTTGTTTCTCATATTGTTAATTTTAGCCATTCTGACAGGTGTAAGGAGATATCTCATTGTAGTTTTGATATGTATTTCCCTAAAGATGAGTGATGTGGAGAAAAGGGAACCCTCCTACACTGTTGGTAAGAATGCAAGCTGGTGCAGCCACTGTGGAAAACGGTATGGAAGATCCTCAAAAGGTTAAAAATAGACCTACGATAGGATCCAGTGATTGTACTACAAGGTATTTACCCAAAGGATACAAAAATTTGAATTCAAGGGCGTACATGCACCCCAATGTTTATACCAGCATTATCAACATAAACCAATTATGGAGAGCCCAAATGTGCACTGACTGATGAAGAGATAAAGAGGAAATGGTGTATGTATGCAATGAAATATTACTCAGCCCTCAAAAAGAATGAAATATTGCCATTTGCAATGACATTGAGGGAGCTAGAGAGTATTATGCAAAGTAAAAAAAAAAGTGAACTTTCTTTTTTTAATTGGAGTATCCTTGAAACACAACAGTATATTAGTTTCAGGTATTCAACACAGTGATTCCACAAATCTATATGTCATACTCTGCTCAGCTCAAGTATAGCTACCATCTTTCACCATTCAACCCTATTACAATACCATTGACTATAGGCCCTGAATTTTACTTTTTGTTCTCCCATGACTTATTCATTCCAAAACTGGAATCCTGTGTATCTCACTCACTTTCATCCATTTTGCTCATCCTCCCACCCCTATCCCTTCTGGCAACCATTAGTGTGTTCGTTTATATGTGGAATCTAAAAAAAAAAAAAAAAAAAAAATCAAATGAATAAAGAAACAAAAAGCAGAATCCAACCTACAAATACAGAAAACAAACTGATGGTTGCACCATTTTTATAATAGCAATACTTCAGTAAAAATAATTTTTTTCTCAGAATTTTGTTATGATAGGATATCATCTATTCATTTTTAAAAGCCACACCCAAAATAGTAAGATGTTAAGTGAAATACACTTATTCTAGTAGTTTTTTATTTAAATCTGTGAAGCAAAATGATGAAAATATAAATATTTATTTACTCTAAATAATGGTATGAATATCTCAGTTATTTTATTCTTATACTTTTCCAAATTCTTACATTTCAAAATATTTTAAAACTATATTGTATCTATTTATATGAATTAAGTCTTCAGATATAAACTCTTTTGTGTTTTTTTCCATTTCTTCATTTTTTTTCAGATGTCACTTTTTTTTAAGTCTCAAAAAATTTGTTCTGTTACTACTATCTCTTCGTGGATATCTGCTTATCTTCCTTGATACTTTACTTCAAAATTTCTGGCTGGCATCATTCATGCTTAAATGGATGTCATTCCACATGGGTCTGCCTTAGTCATCTAGAAGCACATGGATCTGTTCCCTACAGATCCTCTTTTGTTTATCAGAACTCTACAATCATACTCTCTTACAAATAATATGGATGTTATACCAAATCCATTAGGATGTTTAGCCACTTGACAAAGAATGTAACTTAAGCGAGGCAGTAGGAAGCTAGCAGCAAGCATCCATTTATGTCATATCTGAGCACTGTACCTTCCTATCTACTAACTTCATATAGGCTTGGAGGTAAAGTCAGAGCCCATGGGATAAGACCCAAACATCTGAGTCTTTTCTCCACCTTATGGAAAAAGAAAATGAGAAGCCACCTCAATTTGGCCAACCCTAGATTCAACTGTCCAAAACTCAGTGTTTATTATGACTGCTCATCTGATTTTCAGCAGCCACTACAGAACTGACTCTGAGACTTGCCATGTTTTATATTCCATCTACTTTAATTTTTCTTGGTCCTGTTTTTCAGTTAGAAAATCACTTTGGCATCATCTTCACTGATAGGCAGTGCAGAAATAGATTTCAAAATGGAAGATTTCCTTTTCTTTGCCCATGGATGACCAATAAATCTAAACCTTATCCTTGAAAAAGGTGGAGAAGAACTTCTAAATTCTTTCACCAACTCAGATACTCACTTTTCTCAAGATTAGTGCAAATATGAGCTAAGTAGTGCCGACTATAATTTTCTTCAAATGTCTGAGTTTATGGCAGAAATTCCTCATAAGCTTTGTTAAGACATTCTGTCTATTCTTTTTTTCTTAAACTTTGGATTCAATGTTGTTCAAAACTTTTGATTCTTTTTGCACATTTCAGTGGATTTTAGGGAGCAAAGTTAAGTGTATATATATTTCATCTCTCAACTTTAATTCACTGATTTTAATCTATTTTGATCTTGTTTTAGGTAACATATGCCAATAACCAAACAAATGGAGAAACAAAATCACTCCATGGCGTCTGAGTTTATTTTTTGGGCTTGGTAGAGTTTCCTGAGTTACAGATTTGCTTTTTCTTGTTTTTTTCCATTATCTACATAGCCATTGTATTAGGCAACCTCATCATTATCTTTGTGGTAAAACTAGATCCTCACTTACACTCTCCCATGTACTTCTTACTGGCCAACCTCTCCTTTATTGATATGTCCCTGGCCTCCTTTGCTACTCCTAAAATGATCTGTGACCTAATTAGTGAATATAAGGCTATCTCCTATGAAGGCTGCATGGCCCAGATGTTCTTCCTTCACCTTTTAGGTGGAAGTGAGATGATGTTGCTTGTAGCCATGGCAATTGATAGATTCATTGCCATTTGCAAACCCCTCCATTGCAAAACTATCATGAGCAACCGTGTTTGCATAGGACTTGCACTTCTGTCCTGGACCACTGGTTTTGTGCACACTATGAGCCAAATGGTGTTCACAGTGACTTTACCATTCTGTGGCCTCAATGTTGTGGATAGCTTTTTTTGTGATCTGCCTCAGGTCATCAGACTTGCTTGTACTGACACTTATATCTTGGAATTATTAGTCATTGCATTTAGTGGACTACTTTCTTTGTTCTGTTTCATCTTTCTGTTCATCTCCTATAGTATCATTCTGATTACTGTCCGGCATCGCTCCTCCAATGGGTCTTCCAAGGCTTTATCCACTCTTTCAGCCCACATTACAGTGGTGGTACTGTTCTTTGGACCTTGCATCTTTATCTATATATGGCCTTTCAACAGGGTGTCCATAGATAAGATCCTTTCTGTGTTTTACACAATTTTCACTCCCCTTTTAAATCCAATCATCTACACATTCAGGAATAAAGACATGAGGAAAGCAATAAGAAAAATAAAGACCAAACAAGTGAGTTCCAGATCAACCTTTTAACTGAAACATTACAATCATCAAAGTCATCATCATCATTGTTGTCATTACCATCATCATCCAAAGATACTGAGGTATTTAATTTTGTATCAACCATAAGTCACATTTTTGGGAAATGGTAATCCTTCCCTACACAAGTATATATATGCAATAAAATATCCTGAATCATGCAACCAAATACAAACTATTCAATATAATCATTCTTATATGTTGTAATTTTCAGTTTTTTATGAAATAAAGGAGATTCTAAATAAGTATTTAGTGAGTTCTAATCATGGGTTAGGCACTTTGCATGTGTTTTCTCTTAACTTTACAGCAATGAAAATAGAGCACATTATTAACATATTCTCAGTAGAAAACTGAGAATTCTTTCATTTAATGAACTTGCCACTGTAAGTACTAGACTGAGAATCAGATCCTCCCTCTAACTTCAAAATCTATACTTTTATAATAGATTGACTTTATAGTAAAATTTTAATAACATTCATAACTTTGTCTCCCATACCCTCTTTTACATGTTTTCAATAAATAACTCTTTCCAACAAGAAGATAAATTGATCTGAAGGTCAAAGTCACCAGCCATTTCAGTCTCTTTATATCTCTGATTTCATAGAACTTATTAAGCCAACTCAAAAGACTGATTCCAATTATCAAGGTATACTAGGATTAGTGTTACTCAGTAGGGTAGAAAAATCATATATGAAATTCAAGTGATTATCTGTGGGGCCTCATAATATTTGCATATCAAGTAATAAAAGCAAATGAAAATGTTTTCCACAGTGGCTCCATCAATTTACATTCCCAATAACAGTGCACAGGGATAACATTAATGGTGACTAGGGGTGACTACATATATTATGTGAGCACTAAGTAATGTATAGAACTGCTGAATCAATATATTGTACATATGAAACTAATATAATATGTTTATTGTATTTCAATAAAAAAGTAAATGAGAAAGGCATGAGCAAATAAAATTTTAAATTTAATTCACTCCACCAAGTAAAGAATCCTCATTATTGGAGATATTAGATGAAGACAAAAGAAGAAAGCAATTGGAAGTAAAAGAAAACAATGAAGGACAATTGAGTCTCATGACCCATTAGTAGGAAAACGATGATTATAATAACTAAAATATTTTCCTCCTGAGTTGTGGCAACTCAGTTCCTCCTATATTATGGCAATTGTGTATTTATTGTATTTATTAAATTCCTTTTTTTTAATTTTTCCTCACCAAGATGTTGGTGATTAATTTTACCATTTAGTCTCTAGGTTACAGAATATTCCTGTGAGATTATGACTAAACTAGAGGAGATCCCAACACTCCATTGACAAGGATATAGTAATTTATGAGAATATTTAGCTTATGATTGGAGAAAAAGGGGAGAATGTCTTAATTTGTATGTAGGATAAGTGAATCTTTAGGTTGAAGTAACTGTCATTGATTGGAAGTTTAAATAAAGATGGAATGATGTGCATGGATGCTGAGCAACCAAATGGAAAGATGATTCTGGATGTTTCTCTTTTGACTATCAGCCCCTTATTAGCTCTTCTGTAGTCCTCTCTCTATAGGAGATAGCTACAAGCCTAAAAATTATACTTCCTGAACTCCCTTGCAAACTTATTCCTATCAGGTTCTATCAGTGGGAGACATTAATATGATATTGGACGGCAAGAAAAAGGGAGAAGCTTTACATTCCTCTGCTTTGGGATCAGGTAGCAGCAGTATTGGGCAGCTGTGGACTTCAGAATTATTTTGGGGGGCTCAGCAGCATCAGCAAGTGAAGGATCCAAATTTCAACAAGTGCATGAGCTCTTATCTTCTTACTCAGTAATAGGATAGAGGTTTCAGCATCACTAATGATGACACTGATCTGGCAACATTTATGGGTTCTGGGTAATGTCTTTTGCTCACCCAGCCTTCAAGGTGGAATTTTTTATACTTACCCTCAGTAATATCATTTTCTCCTTTCTGTTCCTCATCTCTGAGCTGTAAATTTTTATTTTCAACTTTTTACTGAGCCATTCCCCGGGTATCTCGAAGACATTTCAAGCCCAAAATATAAAAACTAAGTAAGTTACCTAACTTCCTAAACCTGTTATTTTTCCTGCACTCCCTATTTGAATTAATAAGATCTTGATCAGATTAATGGTCCAATCTAGAAGCCAAAATTTACTATTACATATATACTATCCTATTACATATATACTGGCACAGTTAATGGTGCTGTCATTCTTCTGAGGTTCTATTCACTTTTCCTCATTTTCTGTTTTACAACTGTTCTTAAGATTGCATAATTGCTACAGATGTATCTTCAAGTTCCCTGGTTCGTCCTTCTGACTGCTCACATCAAACGGTGAGCTCCTCTAGTGACTTCTACCTTTGAGTGAATTATTATACTTTTCAACTTCAGAATCTCCACTTTAAAAAAAATAATAATTTCTATCTGTTTTGATACCCTCTATTTGATGAGATATTGTCATCCTTCCTCTACTTCTCTGGGCATGCTTTCCTTTAGTTCTCAGGATATATTTATAATAGTTACTTTGAAGTTTGTTTTTCTACTAAGTGCACATTGGAGTCCCCACAAAAGCAGTTTCTGTTAATCTTTTATGTCATGTAGTGGACATAGTTGTGTGCTTCTTTATATGTCTCATCAGTTTTGTTTAAAACTGGACATTCTGGGGGGCGCCTGGGTGGCTCAGTGGGTTAAAGCCTCTGCCTTCAGCTCGGGTCATGGTCTCAGGGTCCTGAGATCTGGCCCCACATCAGGCTCTCTGCTCAGTGGGGAGCCTGCTTCCCCTTCTCTCTCTGCCTGCCTCTCTGCCTACTTGTGATCTTTCTCTGTAAAAATAAATAAATAAAATTTAAAAAAAAACATGGACATTATTTATTTTTTTATTTTTAAAGTATTTTATTTTTTTTTTAATTTTATTTTTTATAAACATATAATATATTTTTATCCCCAGGGGTATTTATTTATTTTTGAGAGAGAGATAGAAAGAGAGAGAGAAAACGCATGAGCCAGGGGAGCAGCAGAGGGAAAGAGAAAAGCAAACTCCCCACTGAGCAGGATGCTCAATCCCAGGACTCTGGAATCATGACCTCAGCTGAAAACAGATGCTTAACTGACTGAGCCACCCAGGCACCCCAAAACTACACATTTTTAATAATGTATTTTAGCAACTCTGGTTACTGATCCCTCTCCTCTCCAATATTGATGTTAGTGAAATTGTTTGATTGGTCGGTTGTTTAGTTCCTTGGCTGAATCAACTCTGAAGTGTATTGTCCCTGCAGTGTGTACCCTATGATGTCCCTGCTCAGATTTTTTCCTTGTGTTTAAGTTTTTTTTTAATTTAATTTAATTTAATTTAATTTAATTTTTTTTCAGTGTTCCAAAATTCATTGTTTATGCATCACATCCAGCTCCATGTTTTTAATTACCAGCTTGGTTACCTTTGGGACATCATAAAACACTTACTGTTTGGTGGTTTTGCTTAAGTCTCCTAGGCCAGGTAGAATTTTACACTTAACTAGTAGACATGTTGTGTGGCTTAGAGGCAACTATCACAGTTTAGAGTTTACATTTTTGCCCATTTATTGAGGGACTAATAGCTGGATGCTCTAAATCTAGTGTTTCCTGAGAGGTGCACAGACTTCAGCACTCACACTGTCTTCCTGACTAACAGGAATTTGTGTGACTTTTTTTTTTAAAGGTTGGCTTCCTAGAAATTGCTCTTGGTTTAGTGTTGCTCATTTTTCAGAGATAGAGCTGAGATAGAGCTATGGAGTTTTTCATCCTTATGGTATGCCTGTCCTTCTGTGCAGAGCCTGAGTACCATTGCACAGGAGTTGAGGGCAGGGATACAGCCCATTTCTCCCTAAGTGACATCCTCCTGTGTGAGTGGGCACTACAGAAGCAAAAGTCTTGGTCATCTGAACTTTCCCCTTCTGACATGAACTTCAATTCTAACTAAGCTGGAGGAAAGGGATGCTAAGGGGGGGTCTTGGTGTCCTCAGCCTGCCATGTCTACAATACAGTTGTTATTTATTGCTGTGTTAAAAAACATTTTTAAGTGATTGCTATTTTTATATTTCACTTGTTTTTTAATGATTTTATTTATTTATTTATTTGAGAGAGAGAGAGAGAGAGAGAGAGAGAGAGAGACCGCACATGAGAAGTGGGGAGGGACAGAGGGAGAGGGAGAAGCAGACTCCCGGCTAAACAGGGAGCCTAATGTGGGAATGGATCCCAGGACCTTTGGATCATGACTTGAGCCAAAGGCAGACGCTTAACCAACTGAGCCCCCAGGTCCCCTGTGCTAGATTATTTAGTATGGGAACCACCCTCTTACAAATTTTGAAGCACACAATGTAGTATTGTTACCTTTAGGGGCACTGTTTTACAGCAGAAATTCCAGAATTTGATCTTGCATAGCTGAAACTATATACCCATTGAACAGCAACTGCCCATTTACCCTCCTCTGTCCAGGCTTTGGTCACTACCCTATTACTTTCTGTTTCCATGAGTTTGACTGCTTTAAATACCTTTAAATTCCATAGGTGGAATGTCTGTTACATAAGTAGATGTGGAATGGAGAAAGATAACCTCACCGTTTCCTTGGTACTCACCTAGAGTATAACCTCTTCAAGACTTAAGTCCTTACCATTCCAGGGTAAAACCTAAGAACAAAATGCTAGCCTGATTTGTGCAGAGAGGGAATCCCTATTTTCTTCACCATACCTGCACAGCAGAGTAACCAGAGTGCAGCAGAAAAGAGCTTCTACAATATGGAGCTCTGAAAGGAGACATGGGGTCGGGGGAGGCTTAAATGCTAGACTACTATTCTTAAGATTTAGTAGATTTTCTTAAAGGACCACTTCTCTATTTTCTATATGATTTGGCCAATTTCTGAAGACTGTACATTTTTGTTCTCTGAAAGATTCACGAATGAAGTGTTTGTTTTTTTGGGAGAGAAAGTACACTAGGCTCATCACTCTG